TTGTTATCTTGTAGTACATTTATAAAAGATTTGATACTTTTGTCATTTGTTAATATCATTAGGAATGTTCATTTAGCTAAATTAAGATAAAATATTAAATCTGATTCGCACAAATTTTTAGAAAGGACTATGTCCAACAAGATATTATTAAAGATTTAATTGTAAAAGCCTAAGTAAATCATAGAATTATTATGCATGATTAAGCACATGGGACATTCTGAGTTATGCACAAACTCACAAGAGATAGAGATGGGCTTTGATACACTTCCCATTTATTAATTGCAAATGTTGGTAAGCATTGATGTACTACAGAACAGAGAGAGAGATCTATCATCTCTGATGTACATAAAATTAATGCAATAATTATTTTTGTATGTACTTAATTAGTAAGGGAGTGTAAAATAAGTTTTTTTATAAGTGGGAATCAAATAAATAGCCAAACAGAAGACAAAAAAGGTAATCGCGTGGGTTAGGCGTTTAGTTATTATATATACGGGTTGGACCCAATTCGTATTTGGGCTAAATGAGAGGTTTTGACAAAATATGTTTCGGCCTGCGTCCTAAAATAATACGTTAGGCAAATCTTCTATGTGATGAATTATATAAATTTATATGATGTAAGCATGTAAAAATCATCATATATTTCAAGTCTCAAACATCCTCGAATGTAAGAAACTAAACTTTTCACTTTTTTTAAGCGAATGTTTCATTTTGTTACAGTTTTTTGAATACTGAGATGTTAATTTTTGATAAATTGTTGTGCAAAATGACTAGACTTAAAAGTAAAACTACTGTACCAATATGTAGTGTAGTTAGCTTAATACTTTCATGTGGTACTCGTATGTATCCATTTGCAGGAGCAGTTCTTGGCAAGTGCAAGAGGAACAAATGATCAGGTCCAAAAATTTTGGAAATTTTATCAGCCCAAAATATTTGAATTTCTTTGAAAATGTAGGTTACAAACTAGATTAAAAGACCAAATTTGAAAGCACTACTGACTATTCTGGGAGCCTATACTATTTTTTTTGTTTGTTTTGTTTAGTACGAGTAGAAGGCCAATTTTTAAGACTAACACAAAGACTTTACATTCAATGAGCCGCCAATGTTCATTTGCATCCATCTGCATCAACTTGGTAGACATATACCTCAATAACATCTTTTATTATCGTGCAACTGCTTGATCAAAAACAAAAAAACTATCGTGTTACCAATCAAATAGATCTAGTTCCATATACAGATACTCAATTACTTTTCTTTCTCATCAAACACTTAGGTTACCTCTTTTGAAAAGAGATGTGGTTCAACCGCTCGTTTAAAATGGACAGTTAAAACGAACGGTTAGAAAAAAAAAATTGCAAACGGGCGATTGATAAAAAAAGTCATTTGA